CCCCTCCTCCTCCTCCCTCCTCGTCTCCTCCTCCTCCTCCTCCTTGCTATTTCTCCCTCTCACGTTCGCACAGGCTGGCTTCATGTCTCTTGCTCACACCGACGAGGACATTGACAGGACCATCGCAGCTGCCAAGAGAGTGTTTGCAAAGATCTGAAGGGATTATGAGTAGAGGGGAAATAAACCAGTTTGTTCATCTGCCCGATGCCATGTGCGGTGGGGCGAGGGAGGAGGAGAGCATGAGGGAATCGGCAACGATGACCGTGAATGGACGGAAGAGGCTCAAGCGATCAACTTGGCTTCGGAAGGGAGTTGACTGAGTAGGAACCAGGGAGTAGCAGAGAAGAGCCAAGGTGGATGAAAGCAGTAAGAGCTCACTGATCCTGACAGTGACTGAGTATCTTGGGAACCCGACTTGGGACTGAGACTCTCCCGAGAGGCGGCGGAGACTGAGAAAGAATGTTGAACTCGGGAGATAAGAATCCTCCTACAAGATTTCAATTCTCTCCTGAGTTCCTGTAACTTGATGCTGAATTCCATCACAGATGTAGAGTTACAACCCGGAGAGTCTTGATGAAGCTACCTCTTGTGTATCGGCAGCATCAAGGGGTGGAGACCTGGCTGCTGGAACCACCGCTGGCCCGTCCGTTGGTGCGATCTTTTCGATCAGCGTCAGGGCAGGATGGAAGATATGAGCAATTCAAGACACGGATATGAGTTATGTGAAAGGTAGGTGAATTTCAGTCGGTGAGTGCGGAAGAAGCCAGAGGAACGGCAGGTGTGCAATGCGGCTGAGCGAAGAGATAGGAGCAACCATCGTACAATCAGGCAAGGAAAAGCCATGAGGAATCGGTACAAAAGAGCTAGGAGTTGCTACAAGCAATTCCTGAATTGCTACAAAGGGCAGGAAGCGGCACGGTAGAGATTTTTGAGGCAACACAGTTTACTCAAGACATTTCTCATCACACAAAACAAGCATCGAAAAATTTCAACTGGATCAATCATGGCCATCGCTGGTCCGCCTGAGAGATTGGAGCTTCATGAACCTACGTCTGTCCCCTCTTGTGCTTTGGTTCTGCTTCCTTCTCACCCTATCTAGTCACTTGCGGCTACCAGAAACCATGCGGTCAAGGGTTGTACAGTGGCACAGGCTGCTCAGAGAACCTGCTGGATCACATCAAGGTGCAAAGCAGCGGCTGTTATGAAGGTTGTGATACACTTTCAGGGCAAGCTGATCATAGCCTGGGGGAATGACCAGGGATAGCTATTCTTCGTCAAGAGCATCTGCGGATTCAGGCACTCATCTTGCTTCGGAGTGGCTCTCCTCCTCATGCAAAGCAAGGAGGTCACACCCGTCCCACGCACGAGTCGAAGCCTCACCTTGTCTGCTGTTCACCCTGGCTCGCTCAGACTTGCCGGACTTGCACTCCATTCGCAATGAGGGCGAGTCTGATCCCTCGGATGCTCTCATTCTTTTTGAGAAGCGAACTTCATCCTTTAATGCATCGTGGTGCATCGTCCGCAGACCAAAAGGATTCGTTGTAAGTCCAAGCTGCATCAGAATCAACACTCGGTACCTCTTCGCTCCCTGTACCACTCTGTGGAAAGTGTGCCAAGGTACGTCATCATTTTTCCTCCAGTGTAACAGCAACCAGCTCTCCTCTTCGCCACAAGGTAAAATTCGCTCGCTCTCGAACTTTCTCAGCTTTGATGCCATGAAAAACAGCAGGTCGTGCCCATGCCTAGATAACTTCTTCACAATCTTTTTCAGCTGCGATGCACTAACCGCCTGTCTCCGGTTCTTGAACTCTGCACGTCCCGATTTTCTGCTTCCATCCTGACCGACGGGACTGTAGAAGATTCCGTCCCGTCTCTGACTATTTTTGCAACGCATATAGCAGCCGTACGCTTCACTTTCATTTACATGCTCTTCACCTTCGCGAAGGGGAACAAGATTCGAGAAGCACGGAGTCAAGACTTGACGAAATCCCTCTGCATCTCGAGACATATCTTCGTGAAAATAGAATACATAGAATACAAGGATGCGTCGTTGAAATTCTTCTTGTCGGATCGTAGACGCTGCAGAACATGATAAGCTAGGTTACGAAATAAAGTTGCGGGGTCTTCCACTGATATATCGACGTTCACTCCTTCCAAGAAAGCACTGCATAACCATGGGTTCACGTTGTCGAGCAACAATGAGATCTTGTCCTCCCCAAACAGTCGCTTGAGAAGAATTCTCTGCTTCGCTGATCGTAGCATCATCGGAGGGAGGGCTCAATGGGTGACGCAGATGATCTGCTTGCTCTTGCCTCGGCTGTCCAACGTCTGTCGCGTAGCTTCATTGAAATTCATCACTAAAGTGTTAGATCCTAACATGATGCAATGAAAACCCGCATTACGGAGAATTCTTTTCAGGAGCAAAAGTCTCTCCAATGCGTCAACAACACCGAAGCTGCTTTTCTCCCTCGGAATCGCTTCATCAACCAGAACCCACAACTTCTGCTGCGACATCCAGGTCCTTGCTTGCTTCACTGTTACCTTGGCGGGCGTTGCGGTCTTGCCAAACAGATAGCCGAGTGTGCCAAGAACGTTCCAACTGTAGTCCTCCAGCTTGATCGATGAGATCTCCGTCGACTCACCTGACACGATCTTGAAGACATTGATACTGGAATTATACTGTCGAAGGTTTAGATCGATAGCTGCGTTCATGATACACGTCAGGTCTTGTACTTTTGAATAGATTTCCTGTTCGTGGACTTATTCGAACACGAAGTATAGCGAGGTCGTCGGGTGTCGAGAAAAGTAGTCTGCAGCACACAGAGATTTCCCGCTTCCCGAGCATGCCTCGATCATACATGAAACTGTTACACTATTGTCATTGCTTGTAACTTCCACTACTTTGTCGATAGGATTGAAATCGCTGAAATTACTGTTCCTTGGTTCAAGTACATTTTTTAGGTTCTCCTTCAAGCCATTAGCTGCATCTTCCAGCGAAAGGCGTGAAAGGCGAAATTTCGAAACCAAAGCGCTTAGCACTATCAAACAGCATTCCATCAGTACGACTGCCTTGGATGTCTATATCAAAAAACACCCGCTCTCACACGGGTTTGGAAAAAATAATAACAGGAAGATTACCTTGGTAGTCCATAGGAAAAGCTAACGATGCGCGATAGCTCGCAAGTTCAGAATTATGGTGGTGCAAATCATCATGCGCCTGGAATATCAGCATCTCGTCCCTGCTTGCACGTGCCTGTTCCAGCTTTGCCTTCGCCGCCTCCAGCTCGCTGTTTGAAGGTTTACCTGCCCCTCCTTGTATTCGTAAACAAGAGGGTTGGGAAAGCAATCCCTGCAGGCAAAACAAACGATCAGCGTCTCTCCTACGGCAGATTCGGGGCCTTGTACCTCTGCGCTTGAAATGACGATTGACCCCAAACCAACCAACACAAAACGTGTGGGGATCGGCATGGCTCCCAAGCGAGGGCGATCAATCCCACATGCCTTCTCCCGGTGGTGGAGTATCGTCTTCCCCTGAAGGAATGGGGTGGTCATGCCGGGATTCCCCAAGTGAGCATTCGCAGCAGGTAAGAGCTGTTGAGCGTGATCGGCCTTGCTCTCATGCTCTGCCAGCCGTCATTTCCCGCGTTCAAGAGAACCATTTTGTTAGTTTGTGTGTTGCGCCCAATCCAATTTTTTCTCAATTTCCGATGAACAAAACTTTTGTTCACCGGAAATTGATGATTGCCCATTCTCATACTGCCACTAACTTTTACTCAAAGTTAAGTTAAACATCAAGAGAGTCGACTGTACCGGCACCCCGGGAGGTCAGCACGGAGGCCCGGGCCAACAGTACCCCCTCGTTTTTTTGCATACCCCTACTTTTGAGAGAAAAATTCCTCAATATAACCCCTCTTTACAGACCAAATGTTTCGACCACCCCCTCTGTCTCGGAAACTTGACTGGCATTGCGCGGGCCCTTTTGTTTCCGGATCAATTTTTCCGCAGGCGCCAGAAGAATCAGTATCATGGGGGTGGGTACTTTCCTACTGGTGGGGTCATACAGCAGAGAGCATAGGTGGGTCATATTTAATGGTGATAATCGAAAGTTGTTTTCCTGCATTGAGATAGTACGTCCATGTGAAGCTTACATTAATGACACAATTATAAAATATTAGAACACACGTGGGCTACTCCTAGATTAGATTGTTGACTCAAAGATAGGGGGTGGGGTGAAACATGACTTGGGGTGGATCAGTACAGGGGGTACTGGAGGTGGGGCTCAAGCCATGTTCAGGGTGGGTAGGGGTGGAGCTTACAAGGGATTCTGCAAGTGTTTGAAAAAATGGGGTCCAGAAAAGGATATTTGGGGGTGGGGTATTTTTCTAGCACCAGACTACACACCAAGTCATAGTGATCTCCGTAGGATCTAGGGATATATAGGGGCATTCACACTCCGCTCGTGCGATGCTGACGAGCAGAGGTCGAAAAGAGTTGATTTCAAATTGTTACTGAATAGTCAGCATACCCTACCCCCCCCGACCTCATTTCTGACCAACTCGTACCCCTTTGTTCTCCAAGTCTACACACCCTACCCCACCTTACTCATGTTGGAAAGGACCCAAGACTGCGATTTCTCCCCCCCATTTTCATCGTAAAAGTACCCCTTTTTTGAGCAATTTTTGGGCCATGCGAGGATGGACCCATGGATTTTTTACCACCCCGACCACTATGTGTGAGACATTATCAATGACCCCTCCATTTCCCTTGCAAGACCCCCACCCTATTTCCCCTTTTTTTGCGAAAACTACGAATATGGTACCATTAAAATAACCCCCTACCCCAACTCAAATAACCCTACCCTCATTTTGGATGAAGTCAATATGTACCCTACCACACTTTCCCCATCAAATAACCCACCATTTTTACCAGCGACAAAAAGAAACAATGTGGAGTACCCCTACAAATTTGATGGCCCACCGGTCTCCCCAGCAATGGTGCTTTACCTCCTCGCCTAGCTCACCCTACCCTACCTCGGTCGGTTTCTGCCTGATGTACCCAGCCTAAGCCCAGAAACGTACCCACCTTTTCCCCTTTAGCCTTAACTATGTTGCACCCCCACCCCCCTCTGACCTTGAGATGTCACCATGTCCTTCGCTAGCAGATGACTATTACCGTTTTAAACGACGGGATGCTTAAAAGTCTTATTAAACACACCCCTTCGAGCTTCAAAAAAATGAAAGGACTTACTTTCGATCTTCCCTATCCCTGGCCCCCGTTATCTCTCCCCCCCCCGGTTTTCCAAACCTTCATCCATCCCAACCACTCCTCACACCACACGGTCTGCATACCTTGCTGCAAATCCTCCTCCTTGCTCCACTGCCAACAATCTCCCTCCCTCCCTTGACTCTTCTTCTTCTTCTTGTTTCCCCTCATCGACTTCCTATCCCCTCCCCTTCGACGCTTTCCATCCTGGCGATTTTGCTGTATTTGATTGGACGCATCCCTCGTAGCGACATTCCATACCTCGCCTTGTCGTGAAGCTTCTGTAAGACACAAAGTTGGATCGGGTGCTGATTAGTCGGAGAACATTTGCCCAGTCTCTCTTTGTTGCTTTGCTTTCTTGTTGAGACTGGTAGAGCAGGGCGACTAGTTCCCGATTGTTTGGTCGGATTGACTATTTCATCGCAAGGAGACCCTGAACAGTTTCTGTTCATCTCTGAGATATTTAAGAATGTTTGCTGCCAAGAAATCCGTGAACATGACGAGCAAGACGGCAAACCTGCGCGGCATGGCGCTTGAAATGTACGAAGACGACTCCGAGACGGTTCTCTACGACCCTTCCTTCCTGGAGTCTTTTCACAAGGAGTGCAAGGGGAGCAGCGAGGTTCAGGTCATGTACGAAGTTGAGACTGCGAGCATGAAGAACTTCGACACGGTCGATGAAGCTGTGTCCGCTCTCTTCCTCGAGAGCGATCAGCTTGCGCTGGAGAGCGGATCTCAGAATGGCTTCGCGATCTCGGACCCTAGCGACGTCGACTTCGAGCCGACACAGCAGGGGAGCAAGGGAGACGAGTCGGACTTGCTGCAGCTTGACGATACGATGGAGAACCTGATGGACAATGACATGCTGAACAACGTGTTCAGCGATGTAGACTGCAAGGCCTACACGGTGGTCAAGCAGGAGGTCAAGGAGGAGACAAGGAAGGAGCAGGAGGAGGTCGTAGTCAAGTCAGAACCTGTTCCTACCTTCGAGGCAGAGCGAGTTGCATCCTTGAGTGACCTGCGACCGGAGCTGAAGACGACGATCCGCGGAGTCAGGTGCAGGACCGGGCACTGGACGTTAGAGGAGCATAGTCGTTTCCTGGTAGGGCTGGAGAGGTTCGGACCCAAGTCCACCACGCACAACACATGCATCCGACTCGGTCCGGGGGTAGCGGAGGTGATCGCTGTGGTGGTGGGGACGAGAACAGCCTCTCAGGTCCGCTCGCATGCTCAGAAATTCTTCATAAGGCAGAGGAGGAGCCTTCTGCAGCAGGAGGATAGCTAGAGGAGGAGTCAACCAATTGCCTTGCTGGCTTTGTGGAGTTTGGAGTATTCCCTTCCTCGCGTTACGGGGAAGAGGAGGAGGGAGGAGGTGTACAGACATGGTTGTAGAATAATGAACTGTTGAATTTCAACACACCTGTCATGAGATATGTACGATCATTTTTAGAAACTCAAACGAAAAGGGCTGACGCTTATCATCATTGTCGATTTGTTTCGAAAGCTTCATTGATAACAAATCATCATCGCTTCTTTGATCGAAAGAAAACGATCGAAACAAAACAATTCTCAATCTTGAATCAATAAGCGAAGAGGAGATCTCCCTCTGCTTTCATCCATCCAGCATGGCGTATGACAGATTGCTCTTGTTCAAGGACACAACTGAAACTCAGTCTATGTGCTCATCGATCTTCAATCGCTGAACCTTTCTTATCTATCTTATCTTGCACGTTTGCAGTGACTGCTGTCCCGACTCTCCTTGCATGTTCAGTTGGTCATCACTCCCTTGATATTCTGATCTCACAGCATCAGATTTCTCCTTCTCCTCCTCCTCTCTCCACCTATCTACTCGCCTCGAGCCGGTTCAGTCGAAGCTCCATGTCATGCGTGATTCTTTGCAGCTGCAAGGCAACGTCAGTCCTCCCTCCCTCCCTCCCTTCCTCCCTCCCTCCCTCCCTCCCTCCCTCCCCTTCCTCGTCCTCCTCCTCGTCCTCCTC